AGACAAGTGCGCACATGTGGCCAGAAGTTGTCGTCGATATTTTCTTCAGCACGATGACAAAGGCTCGCGAAGATACGGGCTCGTTGAATTTGCCTGTCGCGAAGTGTTCGTGTTTTAGCGCAGACGCGAGAAAGATCGGTTGACATTGGCTAGTTTAAATATAATCGCGGTTCATCTGGCGCCGCGATAAGGTCTACGCAGCGAGGTTACCAACTAATATTTCACTCTTCTGATCTTTTTTTTCAGGTGGAACGTCATCGTACGACGCTCGTAGGATCACCGCAAAGCGAGATAAAAATAAGAAATCGCAAAAATTACCTTCCACTGCGTCGAGGAAAGGATCGGCGACGACGACGACGGCAAACATCATCGTCAATGCGATCGTCAGCATCGTTGAACGATCAGCGATTTTGCGAGACTGCGGTCGAATCTTGAGATGCATGATCACTGGCCCCATCGGCGTATCTCAGCGAAGACAACGAAGACAACGAAGGTGTGAAACGTACGAACGATCGCGAACGATAACGACAGTGTTGGCATGTCGGCGAGAAGCGGACTCGCATGAGAACCAAGTACCACACTGGAGCGCAGTCCGCGAGCGACTGAGCTTTTCGTCGCACTTGCGGCCTCGAGGCTCCGGTAAGCTTTTTACTCGACTGAGTGGGTGAGAGGAAGAAAGAGACCAGACGATGTCGAGAGAGAACGAGAGAAAGGCAGAGAAAGACGACGAGGAGCGAATCGAATGCAAGATAGGGACGAAGCGATTGCGTGTGGGAGGAGGGAAAAGACGCGTGGCGCGTTGTCACGCAGTGCAACTGCTATTGTGACATCTTCGGGCTGTACCCACACGATCCTCCGGTATGTATTTTTTCGTCTGTCGCTTCGAGAAGGAGCCTGGCGACTCCTTCCTCTTTCGATCGAGTTGCGTATTTTTGCATATGTCAAAATTGAGAAATTTTCACGCGGAACTCGATCGAGTAACAGGAGAAGAGAACACGAAGGAAACACGGAGTCGTATGTCGACTGATATCGGTCGTGAACTGGACGATTTCGTTATCTTGACTCAAACGGATTAGCCGAACGGTTACTGTACTCCGAAACGAGATTTCGTCGAAAGTTATAAATTCGAAGGAACCAGCTAAGCTTTGCCCGTAGGGTATAAAGCAACATTTCTCCACCGGATAAACTGATAACCCGCGCCTGTATTTCCTTTGATAGCGATTGAGATGTATTATAAGCAAGCATGGCTGTCGTGAACTATCGTTGAAACACGTATATCGTGTATCGTTCATTCTACTAAGGTCTTGACAGACTTATGATTCATTCTCTGAAGTTATTCACTCTAGCAAGAATATATTTACTCGCACTTCTACTCTCTTTACACGATAGGTATTATTTCCAATAGCTCGATGTACAGCGAATAAGATTTCACAGGGAATAAATAGATCAAGTTGTCCTTACGTAGGCGTGGAACGTAATTATCTAAGTATTATTGATGCAATACTGGAAATGGAAATGTAACGTTGCATGGTTGAATAATTTCAATAATTCCTTGACGGCCAACTTTGACTTGGCTGCGTCGCCACGAGATGGATTCCGTTTAAACCCCTCGCGAATCGACTCGATAGCCGAGTAATTTATTAATTTATTCCGCCGATAAATTCGTTTCAATCCGCACGTAGGCCGAGGATGAATTGTTCTTCGTCGAGCCTCTCTCTTCCTTTGCATCTTTATCCACTTTCTTCCGCTGGTGATTTCCCCTTGGTGCAAGCTTGTTATTTCATCGTAAACGCGCACACCAAACGCATCAGACCGTTATTTGCGATAACAATTTTATCGTCGGTAATCACATGATTCGTACGGCCGTGTAATTACAATTCGTGAGTGGCGAGATGGTCGCGCGGCCTTGGAGGGAAATGCAAAAGACGCCGATGGAAATTCGTAGTTCATAGACGGGATGGAAAAAGATCCATGGATGAAACCAGTTCCAAGTTGAATATCGACAAATACCTAGCAGAAGTTCGTGCAAATGTGTACCGGTTTACGGTGCAGCATTGCCACTTTGTACGCTGTGAAGACTATTATTAATGTAACGTGCTACATTCGACGACTAATTTGCAAAATGAAACGGTTGATGGCATTATTTTCGCGATGTTTACGATCCAGTTCCAGCTCTTTTAACCATTAACAAAGACATTTGCGGCTAGAAAAGGCTCTTCAGGCTTTCCTTTCTGAACAGTGTCTTTTTAAAGAATATATGATCGCGTATAATCAGCTACATATTGCAAACTTACACGATGCTTCCGACATTATGCAAAATAATCAGGAGTATAGTATTGTTAATCTTTGTTCAATGTATTTCAACTCGTTTTAACAGAATATCTGTCATATCGTTTATTGCTAGATTAATGTTATTATTATTATTATTATTATTATTATTATTATTATTATTATTATTATACCGCGAATACTACATATATGTGACTACGTATATAAATTTTTCTGAAAATTTTCCCATCTGTTTTAGGAATGATTTGCCTGAACGTTTCCTATCGATGCGAGATTGTGCCAGAAACGTTTTTGCAATGCGGACTTCGCTCGACTCCGCTTAATTCACTTAAGTAGTCGCAATGGTTATTAATTATCCAGTGGCGAGCATTAATTGGACGGCATGCATCTCGTGCATCCATCACATCATCAGAAATTATGAATTCCGATTTCCTGTTGTAATTATATAATCTCTGATCTCTGTAAATAATGCTCCAAAGGAATTGCAATTTTTAGTCACAGAACTAGAATCACGTGCAGGAATCTCGTTCCACCAAGTACAGTCATATGCCATATACGCACGTATCTACCACTTTCAATTTTACTAGAAGAACAAAAGATATTCCAAGTTTTGAGTGGTTACAATTTGATTAACAGAAACTGATGTACGGTGTTGAAGATTGAGTTTCCAATTTAAGATTGGCCAAAGTTGATCGAATCGTTGGGTGAACGTCTGTTGGTGAAATAAATTTGCTGACAATTTACTTTCCGTTCATGCACGTTTCAAGTATTTGACTCACGCACCCTTCGAGCGAGCGAAAGGAAGAAGGAGAGACAGGGCAAGCGCGCGACCAAGGGGAAAGACCAAATAGTTCTGTGAACATTGCATCCTCCGTCAATCGTCGGCTGCATGTCAATGAACTAGCATCGAACATTGGACAGAAATCGAGGACCAACCACCTTTCGCTGACCATCGTGAGAAATCGAGTTTCTCCCGTAAATCTCTCGCACGTTTTGTGTCGTGCCCAAGGAATGTCTTAATCACGATCAGAATTCGCAATACGCCATCTGATTACGCTATAATAGGAGCAACGCGAGATTCGTTCCACCTGGATAATTTCGATTTTTCTCTTCTTCATTATACCACAAGCGTAGCATTGCGATGAAGTCTCTCCTTTGTGTCTTTGCACGTACGATTGATTGGACTCTTCAAATTATCAAAGTCTCTACACCTCAAAATCACCCGTGGAAATTAACTCAACCATTGAAAGCTGATTGCGTTCTGCGATTTGGATAATGCACCGTTTCACCGTTTGCCGGCTTGTCATTATGGAAAACTTTGTCGTCGAGAAACAATAGGAATACAATGAGAGAAATTGGAACGCATCGAGCCGGCAATAAATGCCAATTTTCGAAAAATGAGATGTCACGGAACTTCTTCGAACTCATGCGTAAAGAAAACGTTCGAGTCGAAAGGTCAACGAAATTATTATAGATTTTGATTGAAACATGAATTTAATTGTATATTTATTTATGTATTCGACTATCGGAGATCATTTCTTGCAATAGTAGGATTCTAAAGTTAAGATCTAAGTTTAGGATCGTCGATTTGAACAATCGCAAATTCTCGGTAGATCTCGGTAGATCTCGTTAGTTGCGACAACGCGATCTGCGAGTTAGCGCGGTGTAAGAGCTGGAAAAGGCGGCCTCCATAACGCGGAAACATACGCCGTGTATCATAAATAAGATTCAAATATCTCGAGCCTGCGCGCTAAAACTGCCTCCATTGAGCGCATTGTCATTGTGGTCTGATATATGTGCTATTTGTTCTCGTGAAAATTCGCCTCGCTGCGCAACGATATTCTCCGTCGTTCCCCCGATTCGAATAGATCTAATTGTAAGCGAAACTTCGCCGTGAAACTATGCGCGATACGAGAAACTAGAAGAGACAAGTCGAGCGACTGGAAGAAATTGAACCGAATTAGCTCTAAAAAAAAAAAAAAAAAAAAAAAAAAAAAGAAAAAATAATTGTACGAACACAATGATTCGCGAACGATGTTTAAATCGTGTACGAAATGGAGGAAAAATCTCGTGAAACAAAAGTAATGAAAGCAAAGGTTCTCAAAGAGGTTTACCGACTGCGTGCGACGAGGACTTCGGGGTGGCGCCTTCGGCAAAGTTCACTGTAGAAGCGCAACCCTCTGGAGAGACGGAGTGGCGGAGGATCGGCACGGTGGGGTGGTGGAACGAGAAATTCTTTCCGTGAAAGTGTCAGGGTGGATTGGCGCTGTCATATGGAAGCAAACGAGGCGCCGTGTTAGGCACTCTGGCCTGCACGGATGCCTTGCTGTGTGGGAAAAAGAAAAGTATCTTGTAGGAGAGGGGTTGCAAGCGGGCCGCGCGTTCAAACAGATCTTATTAATTCGGTGAGTGCGATAGTTACGGGGGGAAAATTAGAAACGCGAGTGCGAAAGTACACGCGTTAACCGCGACCCTAAATGGGTCAACCCAACCCAGCAACCTAACGTGTACTCGTTTCTTCTTGCGATTCACTGGCTGGCCTAGTTTCCTCGAGAGTGAGCGAGCGAAAAGATACGCGACCTCCACTTGGTGAAAAACGACATCGAAAGTGTGCACTCTTCCTCACCTTTGATTCTCTCTCGGTCGGTTGTGACCGTGGTTGTCGACGTCGCCATCGTCGTCGCGATCGTCATTCTGATCGAAAGTTTCTTATACACGCGAAATAAATACCATGGGATTCTCGCCGGCTATGAAAATGCATTGAATGAGACGGGAACGCGGTAGCGAGACAGATACAGATGATAAAGGGAAGCGGAGGTGAGAAGTCATGTTACATTTTCTCCTACGCGCGGAACAACAAACGCGGCCCATCGTATTGGGACGTCTTCCATTCGTGGAAATCGTTGCATCACGGATGAGTTGTGCGGGCTTTTGCCAGTAAATCAGCCGACACAATGCATCGGAAACGATGTCTTTGTGCTCGTGTTATGGTGTTTTCGTGTGCTAAGGGTCGACAATCACACGTTCGGGATACGCGATCCGCGAGAAAGCTAACGAGTAACCACGGTACAATCGCAGACACTTGTACGCGACCCTGAATTCAATTATCGATTCTCCGAGGAAAATACTCAACGGTGCAGTTTTGATGCACCGTCGCTAGTTACTCTGGCTAAACCAATAACATCTTTTGCTTTTGTTTCATCGAAGAGACTATCGTGCTGCGATGTTTGAATTGACATTGTCAGGGATTGATATAAAGTTAGTTGCACAGTTAATTTAAATCTTGATGTAGTTATTTGAGATCTGATTTGTGCGAACATTTAATCCAGATTCAATCCGGACACGTTGAATACATGTTGATTTACCATCTTGTACAAATAATCTGTGCGATTGTGAATTTAATAATTTACGTTCTTATTTTTATTATAGATCAGTGAGTGTTGATTGTATATAATAAAAATGGCGGCCAGTAAACCACCGGAAATGAATTACACGTGCGAAATTTGTGGCCTGGAAGGTTTCAATGACGAAGAAATGAGATCTCATATGGTTTTCTATCATCTGCAAGGAGCCGCAAATTGCCCCTTTTGCGATTTAGGTGAAATTTCGCCAACAGAAATGTTGACCCACGTTAACAGTGCCCATCTCGATTATTTAACACCAAGGTATATCTATTGCAATTATATTTTCGATTATACATGTTATTTTCTTTATAAATATTCTTTAAGTACACTGGAAAGTGTTTAAACTATTTTGATTGCGAGAGAAATGGCGGCAAAAATGGGCCTTAGATGTCGCTATGATATACGTTGTATACAAAGTTTGTGAATTCATAACGAAAATATTCACTTGCAGAGTATTTCTTTTTTTTCATACTTTGATTTATTTTATAATTAATTAAATCTTATTCGCTTTCAATGTTCTTACTTTTATAATTGTATCACACATGTATATTAACTTGGTTTTATTATTACTTTTGTGATTGATTGATTATTTAATTATGTGATTATTGATTTCTATAGATTCAAATAAATTATGTGAAACATGATAAAAGACTGTAAATGGAAAAAGAATGTGATATTGACCATAAAAAGTACAAAATACTTTTTATATATACATTTAATATATTCATGTATTTAGTAATAATAACTTATATTAATTATTACAGTACTCCAGAGAATGATATGATGGCATTCATTGATGATGATTCATTAGTGGATGATAGAAGAGATGATGAATGCCGTGGTCCATGTCCTTCTCCAACCATGTCTCCAAGTCCTCCACTTCTTCAAAATGGTTGGAGTAGTTCATTTAATGTTCCACGTGTTAAACAGCAACAAGAGGTACCAAAAGTGGAATCACAGATTTCTGGTGCTAATGTGAATAATAACAATAACAATAATAACATTGGGAATGTCAATAATGGTACTTAAGAATTAAATGAAACTTATATCTATATCTATGGTTAATATAGATATTGCAGCTGAAATAAATAAATATCTCTTTTCAGTTATTGAAGGTGCAGCTGGGCATGGGTCTCCACTGCGTTCAGGCCTAAATTTACAACTACGTTCTCATGCTTCACCAAAACTTCCAGTTCAAGAATGTCCTATGTGTCCCTACAGTTCTGACAGTCCGTTAAGGCTAGAAGAGCATATCAACAGACAACATTTTGATCTCACTTCGCCGTCCTTTCCACCTGAATCTCCACCACCACGTGATGGTGTTTTTAACTGCCCTCTTTGCATTACATCTTTTCCAAATTCTTCTGATCTTGAGTTACATGTTAACATAGAACACAAAGATATCTTGAGGTGAAATAGAATTTATATATATTGCATGTATAATACAATTGTGTATGAATTCTAGTCTACAGTTGATAAATTGGTACAATTTATATATTATGTTTCATTTCTTTTATACAGCCCTGCAAATGGCGCAAGTTCTCAATCAGCTCAAGCAACTATTGGTAGTGATACACCTGCATGTCCAGTTTGCTTCAGTGCTTCATTTAAAAGCAACGACGAATTAACTGCACATATTGAAGAACATTTCAGTAAAAAGTGTACTCCATCTCCTATAACTCCAGATTTGTCTACTGATAGAATGTTAGCAAAGGATATGGAAAGACTTGAGAAGGAGCTTAGAAAATTACGTGAACAACGTGAATTTGAAATGTTAAGGGCGCAATATGGAATGGACAATCAGGGGAATTTTAGAGAACAAAGCGTCACTAATATGCAGCGAGCTGTATATTCAGGAGAAATGACGATTGCTGATTATTATGAAAGACAGACCGAACTTAGAGTCGCCGAAAGTAGCGGCATCGATGACGGCAGCTCTTGTACACGCGGTAATTAACTTTTTTTTGAGTGTATTTATTTATAACGTTAAGAATGTTTTTTCATTCCTTTATCGATTCTGCATAGGATTAGTTCCCAAGATACGAGCTGTCAGTCAAGCATGTAGTAATGTATTAAGCACCTGGATGTGTTCTACTGTAGACCATTATGCTACTACTTATGGAGATAAAGGATGGGGATGTGGTTATAGAAATTTGCAAATGTTAATTTCGTCACTTTTACAACATACAGGGTACAATGAGTTAGTTTATAAAGCATGGAATTCTGGTCTGGGTAGCGGTAGTTCTGCCAAGATTCCACTACGAAGTTCTATACCGTCGATCTCTAGACTTCAGAAAATGATAGAATGGGCTTGGGCCCAAGGTTTTGATACTCAAGGAGCTGAACAATTGGGAGGAAAGTTAGTGAACACCAGAAAATGGATTGGCCCCACAGAAGTAGTCATATTATTGTCTAGTTTAAGAATAAAGTACGTTTTCTAATTTATATGTTTATTATATCTTTTAGAATCATGTTGTACATCATGCTTTTATTGTAGATGTCAGCTGGTAGATTTTTATACACCAACTAATTCTGATGGCGGACATCCCGAAATGTTTAATTGGGTTTTACAATACTTCCAGCGGTGTGATGATTTTAAGCCACCTCTTTATTTGCAGCATCAAGGTAGAAACTTAAAAAGGAATTAGAAAATCAAGAATAGAAATAAGAGTAAGAAAGAAATCAAATTTCATCGTTATTTTTAGGTCATAGTAGAACAATAATAGGAATAGAACAGTTAAGAGATGGTTCAATAACAATGTTAGTACTCGATCCAAGCCATAGTCCAGCACAAATGGCACAATTTAACAGTACGAGTAGTGCACTTGGTGCAATGCGTTTGGTACGCAAATCGATCGCAGCAATGAAAGCAAGACAGTATCAAGTCGTTGCTGTTACTGGTATCATGGAAACCGATTTAGAGTATCATGTAAGCTTTCATATATTTTATATATTTACTTATTCGTTGCTTATTTTCTTATTTATTTGTTACAGATTATGATTATTTATTATAAGAGTATTATTCTTTAAATTACAATATATCTCTGATTTTAGGAAAGCAAAGTATTACGTTTGATTCGAGTGCCGCAAGATAGGTGAGATTTATTGGCTCGAAAAGAAATTAAATATTTTGGGAAGACGATAGACTGCCTCAAACCAATTTTATCCAGCATCCTTAATGTTACATGACCGCAATGTTCTAGGTTTTATCATTAGGAGATTTACTCCATCGTAGTAGTTGCAGAAGTATTATTTAACAATATATTCTTGCATATTTCCGCCATTATATGTCGGCTCCTCAAATTATGTGTATCTAAATCTGCGTCGTGATCCAGAATTTTTGGAAAATTGACCGACGAACCTATTAAAAATTGTAATTTCTAAAAAAAAGGTGTCTATGTGTCGCGCGTATTAATCTTTTTTTAATTCAGGATCGGCTCTGAAAATATTGTATTAAGATGTGTGCTTGAGAAAGAAAGTTACAGTAAAGTTACAGATGAATTTTAAAGATAAAATCAATTCGATCGTCATTTCTTGATCATAATGTTCTGCTCAATTTTCGTCGCACCGAACAGGCTGTGCTAATTTTTAGTCGACCAATCGTCCTATGCCGATCGGTTGCATCAGCGAAAAAAGCCATGGCAGAGCTTAAAAAATGAGACTCTTTCGTAGCTGTGATGCTGTTATCGATTTAATGCTAATCACCGATTCTAAATATTTTTGAAGACACTCCACGTGATCGAAATATTAAAGAAAGCATTGTCCGCGTTTTGTCTTCTTTTTCACTTGTATTTTACATTTTTAATAAACGTTGTTGTCAAAATGTTGTCAATTTTTAGTCAATAAAAGTACCAATAACAATACATCGCAATGCTCGTGGCGATAACAAATTTTATATACCGTTAAAGAAATTATTCTCTAATCAATTTTTATTATTATTGCTTTTACAATAGTTTTTGGAGTGTCTGCAAGAATAGATAATATATTTCCATATTATATATACATTTATCTATATACATATACACATACTTGCACACACACTTCGTTATATCATACTTCATTCACTCATACATAAAGTACAACTACTTTCATACTACTTATGAATATTCTATTTAATTATTGAATTACTTTAAGGCTACTCATACCTTTTTTGTAAGTCAAACACAATGTTGTGAGAGGAAATCAGAGAATGAGATAGTACAGTCCATTAATTGGACATTGTACGAGTACATTGTATGACCAGTTGCATCGTTTTTATTATTATATTTATAATCATCAACATTATTGTTATTATTATTACACTTATTGTATATTATAAATTATATTGATACACATATGTACACATTTGTTATTTTCGAGATTTTAAAGTTATTGAAAAATTTGATGTTTGTTATTGTGAAACATATTTTAAGAGGAAAATGTATTATCATTTTATAGCTTTAATTTAGTATTCAAATGCACTAATTGGGTGAAAATTTGTCTTTCTCCTTAGTAGGACTAGATGTAATAATTATAACTGACAGCAAAAATACAATTATTACTTGATTATATTTTGTCATATGCTCATTAAAAATATGTTCAACATTTTGGAATGTTCAAGCAAAACAAGCTATGGAATTGTTAAGCAAGTGTAAAGAAACTTCAAATTATTCACATGTCAAATTAAAATATATGCTTTGTTAGAATTCCCAATTTACGTGTGATTGTTTTATACCATTGAAGAAATAGAATATTTTTTCCATCTCAAGCTCACATATCATGTGTAAAACTAAGAACATTGAAACAAACAACACATTTTATACAAAATAACTTGTTTATTTCTAAAGTAGGTACTCAATACATTAATATTGTTTTAAGAAATACCAAATTAATTAAACAAAGTAAATATTATTTACTTCAATTACACAAAATGTAATCTGAGCATTTATTACATAATAATTAATAATATACAGATAATTTAAATTCATATGTTAAATCCTAGTGATCTCATGCAAGTTTTATGCGCTTCTATTAAATCTCTACAGTTCTCTTCACCCTTGAGGATAATGCTGAAAAAAAATGTTTCTGAATATAGTTGTTTCAAGATAAGGTTATGTGTCAATTCGTAAACAAAGAGAAAATAACTCAATATTATAGATTCTATTCTATGAATTAGATTTAAATTTGGAACTCAATTTAAAAATATTTGAAATAAAAATATTGTTTCTTCAATATTTAAATATATATGCATACCAATCATCCCTTGCTTTTTTTGTCTCGGGACAAGCACAACAAGGTTTCAATGGTTTATCAGATTTTTGTACATCCTTTGATCCTGCATTTACGGTCTGACTTGGTTTGTCATTTACGATGCCCATTGTTATATTAAGTACAATATTTCGCACTGTATCAAATGTTTTATAACTATTTACATGCGTTTAAGACTAATTCTAAGATCATTGATAAAGCCATACTGGCTCCAGCGCCTCCACAACATTTATTTTCGCGAAATTCAAATTATTTCTTTGTAAAATAGCGTTAATAAGCAACGTTGGAATCTTAATAGGGATGATTGTATATATCAAAACACAATACATTTAATTATTTTTCATAATTATTCAAACAAATTTATTTGTCAAGTTAAATTAGTATAAAACAGTAATCTGTAAATGTAAAATTTTTGAGTTCATATTATAAAAGCGTGTGTATATAATATTCGTCTATTTTTCTGTTCAATGTGAGAATATTGTAGAATTTTCAAGAATCGATTGCTTATATGTTTTTCTGTGGAATTTTGATTCAAAGTCTATGTTGATCAAGGTGTTTCTGTCGCGCATGAAATTTCTGTCTTCTGCGCAAATTTAAGTGGAAGGGGAAGTCGAACCTCCCCACTCCATTAGAACTTTGGTGGCATACATGTTCGCAGGGCGTTATTGTGGCGCCGAATATTGTGGTGTTAAGACGTACTTTTTTTCTTTAGGTATTTGAGTTTGATACTTTCATAATTATTATTTTATCTTTTACACATTACAATTAACTTTATCTACCTAACTTCTTTATTTGTTGAATATTATTATAATTTAACTGTTCGTTAGTGACAAAGTATATTTAATATCTATTTGGTGGTTACATTTGCCGGTATCGGCCAAAGTCAAAAGTTGATTTCGGATCGAATGTAATCTCATTCGTTTCGACTTCATCCGGTCTTATTTCATTAATTAACGTTAATTTCATACATTTGTTTTAACATTTTGCTTTTCTTTTGTCCAGAATATCGTTAATTGCGAGAATATCTTCGAAATAACAGTGAGAAGATTTCACAAAATTCAAATGGATGCCATGTTTGCAGATAAGATTTTTAATTGATATTTTTGACGATTAATTCAAAGTATTCACATAATTAATACGTAATATTACAAAATTACAAATAATTTGAGAATTTATTGAGAATACTAAGATGAAATTAGATAAAATTAAAGAAATAACTTTGAATATATCAAATTTCGAATTGCTTTATTATTAACATTAATCTGACATAGATTCTCTAAATTTTGTTTGATTTGAATAAGAAACTGAAATATTTTCACATTTTATTAGCAGTTACGCGAATTTTGTTTATTACTTTTAATAATTTATACTATTTTCGAGAAAGGACGCTACCAGTTTGATTCTGCGCATTTGAATTGCGCACACAAGAAAAGTGCGCCATATTTGAATAATACAACGTATATTTGAAACTGTAATGGCGGACATTCAGAATTGCGCAGACAAGAAAAGAGCGCCATATTTGAATAATATAACGCATATTGAAACTGTAATGGAAGGCATTCAGAAGATTCTTATGAAACAATTATATCATATAATTTCTTTATCTGTGTTAATTAATTTTTAAGAAAAGCAGTATTTTTCTAAACTAACAAACGCTCCCATCTTGTAATAAAGCTTTTCTTTTAGAGATTTTTTGTGACCGCGCGCAATGCGGTTGTAGAGTCAGTGTTTGTTTCGTCATATTTTGTATATTTTTTAAAGTGTTTAAACTTGATTATAATAGTTATACGCGAAATTAGAGTCAGTGTGTTCGTCGATCGTTACTTACACGGACGCGTCTTTTATTTTTTTTTAAATATTCGCTTTCGGTAATAGAGTCACAGATTTCGCAAGAGGATACAGCCTTTCCTGGAGCTTAAGAATGTAAGTATTGTATTTCAATTTATTTTGTTCCAATTATTATTAATTTCATATTAAAGTTTCAATTTTTATATTAATTAGATTTTATTAAAATCTCAATTGTTATTCTTATTAAAATTTCAAGTTTAAACAGAGTTTCATTTTTTATTATTTTAAACTTTTTAAAAAAATTAATGTTTGTTAACAATTATAATATTTTATATGTTTTGTTAAAGGTTTCTTACAATCTCCATATTTTCCTGCTCTTCAGGAAGGATGCAGCAGTGCTTCAAAACTAAACATGTGAGTACTTTTCTATTGCCATTAATTCTATTCCTTGTATTTTGCTTTAATTATTACTATTTCAAAATAAAGTTTGTTTTTAAATATTTATATTAGTTCTAATTATTGTAACAATTAAAATTTATTATAATTTTTATCTCAAATTTTTTGAAGTATCATCAGTATGTTTTTTCAAAATACATAAGTTATAATAATTCTTATTTTGTTAAAGGTTTGTCATTCCTTCCTCTTCTACCTGTTTCCTGGGAAGGATTTAAGGGTGCTTCAAAAGCCAAGAATGTAAGTAACTTTGGAATTTAATTCCTTGTTTTTTACATTAATTATTATTAATTTATATATTTATATATATTTATAAGTTTATTTTTAAATTGAATATTATTTTTATAATTTTATGTTTAATATCTAACATTTTTTTACAGATATCTTCCAGTCTTCATTCTTTTTTGATGGAATTCCATGATTTGACTTCATGATGTTTGTTAAGGCAGCATGACAATTTTATTTGCATCTAATCGTGAGTCGCATGCTTTTTCGTTCCTCTGGTCATTCAATCATGTCGTAGGATGAAAGATCCGAATCGACACGAATGACTGGTTGTATTACGTAGAATTTTTAACGAGCATAGTGACCGCGGGTATTTTTTGTACCCGTGAGTAGTAACATTTTTTCAAATTTTTTTATGTATCAGATCAGGATAGGACTTCTTGCACATCGCGATTTTAACAATTGGAATATATACATTAGAATATATATATTTATCGTAATTACTTATAAAATCAAAATATCCCCAATATAAATGTTCGCAAAAGTAAAATATCTATATGAATATGTATTATATGAATAAATAAATTGTAAATATTTATAAATAATTATTACTACAACGATTTTGTTTGAGCATTCCACAGTAGAGAAAACGGATAGCCTCCGACTTTATTGCTGTGAAAGATGCAGTTATTACTTATTGATACATATTTTCGTATAATAATTAATAATTTTCAATTTTTTTATCTTCCTTTTTATGGTAGCATTAAATGATTTAACTAACTCAGTTTTATAATTATGAACTAGTAGAATTTGAAATATAATAGATCAGATTTTTTTTTCGTGGAAAAATGTATGAAATTTTATGTGCAAGAAGATACTTCGCGACAGGCAGACTTTTGAATCAAAGTAACAAGTTTGGACACTGCTTTCACATTTTCGAAAGTATGCTTTGATGAAGAAATCGCCTGAGATTATTCTGTCAACATTTAATTTACTGTATAATTGTTTCATTCGCAACTGTATGTAATGTCTATAGATCTTTTGCAAGTGTTACACATTAATGTTACAAATTGTTCATTGTTTTCATTCTCTTGCAATTTGGATAATTTCTGAAAGAGTAGAGTCATTACAGTGTCAAATAAAATAATACAATAGTCCGTTAGATACAAATTACATAAATTAATTATTTTTTTAGTTTAGGATTTTCAGGTTTAACCCCTTCCGTGTTCAATGTCAGGATCTCACTCACGTACTCAGGTGCTACTTGGGTGGGTGAAAGACATTGGGCACGATGACTATAGTTTGTAATTTTATAAATAATTTCTCAGCGACTGACAATGTGTTAGTGTATCGTACACGACGTATTTTCCGCATGTGTGTGTGTGGATAGGATGTGGAATTGCGTCGTTTCTATTGTTGCGTTCATTATCGAAATATTTGAAGTATTTATGCACTAATTTAAAGAAATATGAACTTATCATAATACTTAATAAATACACTATAATTACATTATTATTATAATAACTATATAATCAATTATAATAATGATTCCAAGTCAACCTCCATGTGTATTTTCTATAGAAACTTTATGCATTTTTTCTCAGTTATTAATATTAGCTGTAAATGTAGACGTGTTTTATTCACGTTTTACGTAATGGTCGCTAGCTATTGTCAGTCGATTTCAGGAAAATGGTACGTAAATTAGAGTGTGAAAGTTGTGTGTAAGCTCGGGGTGTCGGAGGCGTCCCGGGACGTCCTCTCTAGTTTAGGTTTCTGCGCCCGAGTGGTATGTGTGAGAACCGTGGAGTAAGTGTGTTGGTATGCCTGTTTTGCCATTTTTTAAATATAGGACAATAGGTTAGGATAGGTAGCTTACTTGCTGGTGTGCCTGTGTTTAATTATAAG